GGGGGGGCATTGGCCAAGGGAGCAGCGAGAGCCCGGCCCGCGCGCGGCGGGGCGAGAGAGGCGCTGGGCGGGGTCACAGGCTCCTGGGTTCGTGCGATGGGCCCGAGAGCTCCAGAGACACGAGCCCAGCCTCAGTCTCCGATGGCACGGACTGGTCCCCGCACCAGCCAACAGACAATATGAGCAACGTTTGGCTGGGCTACTGAGAGTGTAAACAGTCTGCAATAGCACTGTGAACCAGAGCATTACAGTCCAGATTAACAAGGGTATTGTTTCCTATAGTGGTACAGAAAATATTGGGCCCGAGAGCTCCAGAGACACGAGCCCAGCCTCAGTCTCCGATGGCACGGACTGGTCCCCGCACCAGCCAACAGACAATATGAGCAACGTTTGGCTGGGCTACTGAGAGTGTAAACAGTCTGCAATAGCACTGTGAACCAGAGCATTACAGTCCAGATTAACAAGGGTATTGTTTCCTATAGTGGTACAGAAAATATTTAATTTGAACAGCAAAATTAAAGAATCTCTTTATTCTGTCTACACTGCAGTTAGTCTACAAGGTGCCACAGGTCTCCTTGCCGCTTTATTCTGTCTGTTTCTATCAAAATGAGGAAATGCATTTTGGGGAATTGGCAGAAAAATCCCCTCGCCAAACTCTTCTTGCCTCTTATCCATAGCTTTGCTAAGGAAAACTGCATGCAAAATAAATGAAATATTTTTCTGTGAAGAAAGCTGCGTAACTTGTCACCAGTGACAGCTCCAAATCCACTTTTGACAATAAAGATAACTAACTTTTGAGTGGTCCCCCACAGTTGAATAATTTGTTTTATAATTTTTTTAATTGTTCAGTCTGATAAATATTTATAAATAAGGGTAATAAAAATGTTAATGCTGTAAAACTGATTACAGACTATCATCTGGTTTGGTGTTGAAACTTCGTCTTTCTTTAATTCACAGGTATTGTTAGGCCATGAGCCCTTTGAAGAAACTGGAACAAGTGTTAAACTGGCTGAGTGTGGATAAAATGTTAAAATTATATCTTGACTTTTGGAACCTTTAAAGAGAGCATCAAACTTGTTAACTCTGTAATTGAAAAGCAGTTGTATCTCAAAGGATTTGGATCTTTGGATGCCGTAGAAAGGCAGCTGCACTAAAATGTTTGCAAAACTGAAGAAGAAGATAGCAGAGGAAGCAGCAATTGCTCCTCGGCCAGGAGGGGCTGCCAGAATTCCTAGATCAGTAAGCAAAGAATCAATCACGTCAGTGGGAGCTGATTCTGGAGATGATTTTGTAAGTATCATGCTTTGCTTTTTACTAAAGCATTTGTAATGTGCAAATTTACAAAAAGCCAGGCATGAATCTTGACTAACTGAAAAACCAAGTGCACGTCAGAAATGTGTGATGTGCAGATGTATCTAATTAGGAGTTTTTTGGAAATTAAAGTAAACATAGGTGTTAGTAGAGGAGAATAATATTAAATATATATGTTTTTCATGTTAAGAGTATAAAATACAAAATTATCCTCAATGCAGAACATGGCAAATGAAGGTACAGCAAAACTGCAGTAGTCTGGCATCCAGTTGTCCGGCACTCCTGATAGTCCGGCATCAACTGGAAGCCGGAACTGCTCAGGTCAGCTGCTCTCACAGCCGGGCCTCTGTGAGCCGCATGCATGCTCACGGCCCGCGCCGTTCTGCTCATGGTCCCCAGTGCACACAGCGTCCAACCTGCATGTGCTAGCAGCCGGCCGCTGAGCACAGGCAGCTGCTTCAGGACCCGGACATAAGGTTGGGAAGAAGGGGGACTGGGTGACAGCAGGGTGGGAAGGTGCTTGGCTCTGGGGAAAGGAACGGGCAGGGAAGGGGATTGGGTCACGGATGGTGTCCCGGCCAGCTCATTGAAAAGCTGGCCGCTCAGCACACGTGCCCCAGTGCCTGAAGGGCGATACGTGGCTGTATCGGCGGCTCCAGGACCCGAGCATAAGGTGTGGGGGGGAGGGCAGGAGGACTGGGTTGGGAGTATGCCACCTTATAGTACCTGCTGGTACTCCCAGCATATCCGATAATCCGGCACCACCTAGGTCCCAAAGGTGCCGGATTATCGGAAGCCTACTGTATAAGGTTTCTGGTACTATAGTAATAAAGTAATAAATAACTGGTAATAAAGGTATAAAGATATAAACAATGTTACAGCAAAGCATTATGTAAACATAATGCTGAAGATTGCAAGAAAACAATCCAAATTTTAAATTGTAGCATTCTGATTCTACGCTGACCTCTTAGGTTCCTGGTGCAATTACTGGTCAGGCATGTTGTTTACATACCTGGATAGAATGCTTATGTTGTTTCTGTAGCATTGGAAAAACTTCTAGGTTATCACTAGACTGTCTAGATAAACTATTTTACATGTGAAATTATAGTATGCGCAGATCATATATCAAAAATGTTAGGTATGTAAGTTAAAACCTGTTAGTACTTACACTGGAAAACATGCCTCCTGAAAGCTGTTATGTCACCCAAACCCAAGATTCCCCTGTGTCTTAATTCCCTCATTGGTGTAATAGATTTACAGCACACTCCTTGGAAAAATAGCATTTCTGAATCTCAAGCACATAAACATTGGTTGCTGAGTTAGACCAGACATCTTGATCTCTAACAGTAAATGGGACAATGCTGTGGTTATAATACTTGGTTTTTCCCTTTTTTCCCTTTGAACTTGGCTTTTCACATAGCAATTGATATAGATTGAGAAACACTGTGATTATTTCATTGTTGGTGTTGAGAACAGAAGTACAGGAGAAGGAGACTTTAAAACGGTGGGCAACCTACGGCCCATCGGGGCTCTCTGTGTGGCCCACAAGACATTTTGATTACCGTTGCTCACATGCAAGGTTGCCAGATTCAACTGGTTTCCAGCCATATAGTTTTTTTTCAACTGGTATTACTAAGGTGACGCTCATGTAAAGCAAGGGCACGTGCAGTGAGGTGTGTACTGTCTGTACACTGCATTTAACTGCGAGAGCCGAGCGCTCCCTCTGCATCCAGTCAGAGTTCTGATATGGTTCCATGGACACATCCCGCAGCTAAATGCAAGGTGGAACATACTGTTTAGAATATGCGCTACTTATGGCCCATTATCATCTCTGCAGTCATAGGACAAAAGGAGCAGGTCAGTGGGTTGCAGGTTGTTTTACTTGGGGCTTATTAAAGAGATTATCTCAACCATCTTGTGTGTCTGGTCTCAACACAGCTACAGCAACACTCCATACAATACAATACAGAGAACAGTTCAGGCTTGGGTGGAGGAGGGTGGGATCAAGCCACCACCACCCTGTTCTCCAGAGGCCGGTGCCCTATCCCTGAGTTCACTGGAGATCCCATCCCACCCCACCCTCCTTGCCTTCAGCAGGTCCCTTACCTAGTTTCACAAATGCAGGAGCCAGCTCTATCCCTAGGGCAGCCTAGGTTGGCTGTCCGGCCCCTCCCTTTCAAGAATTCTGTACTTTCGCCGCTATGAGCAGTTACTTGCTTTCAATTTTGGTTTAATAATGAGCAAAAAATAATAGCACTAGAGCCGTGGTCCCCAACCCGGTGCCCGCGGGCGCCATGGCGCCCGCCGGGCCCTTTACATGCGCCTGCAGAGCAATCTGGGCTGGCCCCGCCCCCGGGAGTGCGGCAGGTGCCAGCCCCGGGCACATGGCCGGCCCCGCCCCCGGGTGCGCCGCGCATGCCGGTGCCGACCCTGACCCCCGCCCCCGTACTGTACGCCCTTGCCGGCCCCGGCCCTGGCCCCGCCCCTGGGGGCGCCGCCCCCAGGCGCCTGGCAGCCCCAAAACGTTAGGGACCACTGCACTAGAGAGACTAAACTTAATGGAATGAATAGTGTCAGAAATTAACATTGTGTCCATGTGTTGCAACCTGTTTTTCCAGATAAATTTCTATTTTCCTGCTACTTACTTACTCATCCTCTCTGCTGCTTGAAACCCTTCCAGCCTGGGTAGCGTAACTTCCCTCTTTCTAGTCATCCTCTTAAATGACCAGTCCAGTAATTTAGACGACTTGTTTTCAGCAACTGTTTTAGAAAATATTGTTTTAGCTGTCACAGAGCTGACCATTTATACCCTCTTTCATTCTCCCAAGTACAGGAGCACTGACTTAGCCAGTGGTATATGTAAATCTGTTCTCTTTCTGTGGAAACTATTAATTATTTCTAGCCCTTACAATGTAGGCCATCATTAAAATTTAAGTGTGGCAGAATTGTTCTTTCTGAAGCTCAGAAACCACATAGTTACTTGTCTCTCTCTAACCTACCAAGGCCTCTGATGGAAGCAGCTCCAGAGAAGATCTCTCATCCCAACTACTCAGAAGAAATGAACAGATCCGAAAACTGGAGGCCAAGCTGTCTGGTATGTTTCCTGAGTGCGTAAGTGATAACTTGGTATCTTTCACTGCAGGGAAATATTTTCCTTCACATTTAAATTTTTTAATGTATAAAAGGATTTTTTTGCTGTCTATTTATAAGAAGCCTGTTGGTCAGCAAGCAAGAGCTGTACAATACAGTCAATACAGAATGTTAAAATAAAGATTCATGACTTGCTATCTTCCTGCTGTACTCTTGGCACATCAGTTTGATCTTCCTGACTGTACAGTATAGTTTTCTCTGTCTCTGTGCTCCAACCTGAACACTTCTCTTTTGATGTGAACCCTCCAGTCCCAATTTGATTTCTTCTTTTTACTATTTGTATTGCAGTAGCCTCAAGCGACCCCATTTAAGTTCAAGACTCTCCATGGTACTAGGCACTGTACAGTAATTAAGATGACATAGTCCAGGTGTGGCCAACCCATGGCTCGCGAACTGCATGTGGCTCTCCTCCTCCCCCCCCCTTCAAAAAGTGCATCTCGTGAGGCTGCCCCTGAAAACGACCCCCGGCTCCCTGGGGCAGGGGATCTATCCAGCGTGGCCCTTCAAAATGGCGTCTTCAAGATGGTGGCGGCTGGCGGGAGCGTGATGTGGCCTTTAAACACATTTCTTAAAGGGGCAGTCTTTTTTTTCCTCAACAACTTTACCCCGGCTCTTTGCGCTGTATCCACTGCTATTTTGGCTCTTTGTCTGGAATGGGTTGGTCACTCCTGACGTAGTCTTTGCCCTGAAAGTGAATGATCTAAAAAGACCTGCCTACCAAAAAAAGGGTGGGGTGGGGATCTTGATGCAGCAAAACTGGACAGAAATGACTTTTGGAAACTATCCTCATACTAAAAACAAGGAGTCCGGTGGCACTTTCAAAACTAACAAATGTGTTAGGATATTAGCTTTTGTAAGCTACAACACACGTCCGCGGATGCTGATGGGAAAAGTGGGGGAAGGGGAAATAAACAGAGGTGGGAGTGTGACATCAGTGCTAATCAAATCAGAGTGGATGTGGCTCACCTCCAATAGTGGTGAGAAGGTGACAGTACCCGGATGGGAAATTACCTATTGCAATGTGAGAATCACCTGTCCTTGTGACTGTTGAATCAGTTGCAGGGTGTCAAATCTGCATATTAATTCCTGCTCAGCAGTTTCTTATTACAATTGCCATTCTCAGGCAGTAAAACTTCAGAACCAGGCGGCAGGACTTCAGAACCAGGTCCTCTCACCTCAGCACTGTCGGAGGTGAGCCGCATCCACTCCGACTGCATTAGCACTGATGTCGCATTCCCAGCTCTGTGTTCCCCGCCTCCTTTTCTGTCTCTTTTCTCTTCCGTATCTGAGGAAGTGAGCTGTGGCTCTCGGAAGCTCATGCTCTAATACAGTAGACAGGCTTGAAAGTGCCACCGGACTCCTCGTTGGTTTTGCTGAAACAGACTAACGTGGCTTCCTCTCTCAAATCCGTCCCTGCAAGAGGCCTCCCTGGCTGGCGTACAACTGGTAAAGGGGCTCTGTGCTGAGTCGGTGCCCGCTGGCCATGTCCCCATCCACTCCCTACACACGGGACCAGGGGCACAATGTTCTCTGCTACCTTCTGCTTCCCAGGGCTCAGAGAGGGTCCCTGAAAACAGCGTAACTTGGAGCAGCCTCTGGGGGGTTTTGGCTTGACCTGGGGGCTGGGCGGGCCCCTGCTGAGCTCTAGAATATGGGAAGTGCAAATGTTCCTGAGAGAATATCCTTACGTCTTGTTAAGGGCATTTGAGGTCTCAGGGCTTGGAGTCTTACAAAAACCTGAAGCTTGGACCAGACGCCAAGATTTGTCGTCAAATCCTCCCAAGGCACCGTCTTCCTTCAGTCTGGCCTCTTAGTCATACCTGCTCAAGACGGCAGAATTACACATTCACTGCCTCTCCTGATCATTTATATCCGGGTTTTAAAGTAAGAGCGTGTTGCTGTTGGCTGGGCCTGGGAACTAGCCAAAATGCACCGTTTCTCTGGATTATTGCACAGTTGAGGAAAGGTGTAATATGGAGCAAGGAAATTAACTGCTGATGGATTTTTCTGACCCTCCTTCACTTTCTCTCACTGCGGCTATTCTTCACAGGCAGGAGTCAGCCTGAATCATAGTGCTTGGGTACAGCAGAATGTGGTGACAATGTTACCTTTTTTCGTGCCAAATTTAGCTTGTTTTCCTTGTTGTTAGCTTAAGTAAGCCCTTCTGTTTGTACCAACCATTTACCCCATGGCTGGAGTGTGGTAGAATTATTTGCTTGTGGTGTTCATTGTTAAGGTCAGCCTTGTTTTCCTTAACAGGAATGATTTTCTAGTTAAGAAAATCATTGTCACTTTCCACTCATATTTTTTTTTTTTAATTTCCTTCCCTAATGTCTGTCCATTCCTGGTCTGTGCTTCTCCCTCCTCACCCAAGATTATGCTGAACAGGTCCGAAACTTGCAGAGGATAAAAGAGAAGCTTGAAATTGCATTAGAAAAACATCAGGATTGTACGTACTTTTATTTTCTTTCCTTTTTTAATTTTAAAACTGTTCTGCCTTGAATTCAGATGGAGTATAAAAATCTGTACAGTTAAAAATGTTTCTCTTCATATTGAACACATCCTGTTTGTAAAAATAGCACACAACTTTCTGCATGATTTACAGGGAACAAAGCAGCTGGGATTTGTTTGCTGTTACTCTGACCGCTGCCAGCAAGCACTTTTGCTGGACTTATGACTAGCATTTAAAAAACCCCTAGAGCACTATTACAGTCCAGATGGGAGCTCCTCCACTATCTCTTGTTGTTTGTGGGAGCACTCACAGTGCTAGGCATTGTGCAAACATAAGGGAGGCACAGATCCAGTCCTAGAGCTATGGATCATTTGGGGGCCTGATCATCTTGACAGTGGTGGTTCTACATGTTAGTGTGACATACAATATTTACAGAAGTAAATACACAGTGTTTGCATTCGCATACCCTGACTTCTTAACTAGTGATTCTTTCACAGCTTCCATGAAGAAATTTCAGGAGCAGAATGAAGTTTACCAGGCCAACAGAGCAAAGATGGCTGAAGGAATGGCTTTAGCATTAGAAAAAAAAGACCAGGTAATAGACACAGGGTTCACACAATGAAACGATTGATTGATAGAGAGAAGCAATCTTGGTATAGTCCATATGTGTATTTCTTCACACAACTCAGTGGACTTGTGGAACTCCTTGCCAGAGGATGTTGTGAAGATCAGGACTTTAATAGGGTTCAAAAAAGAGCTAGATAAATTCATGGAGGTTAGGTCCATCAATGGCTGTTAGCCAGGATGGGCAGGGTTGGTGTCCCTAGCCTCTGTCAGAGGCTGGAAATAGATGACAACAGAGGGATCATGTGATGATTCCCTATTCTGTTCACTCCCTCTGGGACACCTGACATTGGCCACTGTTGGAAGACCGGATACTGGGCTAGGTGGCCCTTTGGTCTGTTCTGATGTAATATGTTGAAGCACTGGAGAATCACTGCTGAGATGCAGTATTCATTTGCTGTGTCACAAGCAGTCTTCTACCTGTAGGCTATCTTTATTTATTCTTATCTGGGTGGAGGGAAAGGAGCCGGCATAAGGTGCAAGGGTCAGTGTTGCTGACGGTTCATTCAGAGACCACGTGTCGCTTGCTCTCCTTTCTTAAACTGAGCTTGTGATAGTCATTGATGTGAACTCAAACTCCAATTTGCTGTTCAGGTAGAACTTTGCTGTCATGTAATTAAAGCCTGTAGATCAGTCATTGCTGTCAACCTGTGGGCTGCTTGCAGCCCAATGAGCACACATCTGCACTCTGTGACATCCTCAGGGCCACGCCGGTAGTAATGTGTGGATGTGGCCCATGTAACTAGGACCTGACCAAATTGAAAAACATGCCATGGATAGTGAAATCTGGACTCCCGCCACGAAACCTAGTCTCTTCTGCCCTGTGACATCTGTATAATATAGGGTACAAGCACACAGGAATGTTTCTCCAATGCGGGGGGGCCTAGACCAACAGAGTTGCGGGGAAGCACAGTGTTATTGTGGGGGGTCAGGGCAGGGGAGGGTCATGGTATTGCTACTCTTACTTCTGCACTAAATTCACAGCTGAAGAACCAGAAAGCAGCAGCTACTGGCGAGCTCTGAAGTCAGTGACCCATCACCAGCAGAAGTAAGGGAGGCAAAACTATATCATGTCATCCTGCATTACTGCTGGTGGTACCTCTGCCTTCAAAGCTGGACTCCTGGCTAGCAGCCATTACTCTCCAGTTGCTCAGCTCTCAAGGCAGCAGCACCATGAGCAGCAGTGCAGAAGTAAGGGTAGCAGTTCCACAGGCTCCCCTCCTTGAAAATCTCGCAACCCCTCTTCCCCCAGACGAACACAGGGCCAGTGTTCCCTGTGAGCTGAGCACTTGGACAGCTGCCCAGGAGGGATTCGGGCGCTGTCTAGCTCTTTAGCAGTAGAAAGACGGCTGGCAGCATGTGTTTCTATTGGTGGCACATATACACGTGCCTCACTGACATTACAAAATTTGTTCCACACATGGATTGGAAAAAAATAGAGGGAACATTGATCAGGACCCCTACAACTACACCACCTTGAAATTTTAGACTTAAATAGCTGAAATCATGACATTTGTGTAATTAAATCCTATGATTGTGAAACTGACCAAAACGCACCATAAATTTCATAGGGCTCTATACATAACACAACTGCAGCCCACACCGGTAAAATACATTGAGCACCAGTGCTGATGCTGATACAGTTTTTCGTCTTGCATAACACAGATATGCTATGGTGACCCTGTCTCAGGCTTTACCAGTATAAAATGCTCTGCTGTTATTTTCACTTTCACTCATTCCATTTGATGATTACCCTAATTTAATCCCTCCTGCTACATTTATTGGTGCATTTCAAAGTTGGTGTTTATATTTTTATTTCCCTTTTTTTTTCTGTCTCCCTGGCATCCCCTTTGCAGGAATGGAGGGAAAAGTTGGTTCATCTCAAGAAGGCAAGTCTCCTTTGATATCTCTGTTAAATGTAGGCTTGCTCATGTACTAGGACTTGGCAAAGAAAAGTTTATGCCAAGAATGTACTTATTGAGCGTCTCTGAGTCCATGTTCTCTGGCTGCACCCTGATAGCCATGTTTGTTCTCCACTCCATCACCCCAGAAGGTAAGTCTGGAGTTAGTTTTGGAGAGGGAAAGAACAAATCACAGGCTTCGCACGCAGGCAAGAGATGAAAGATTGGCACACCAGTCAGCATAGATGTAACAGCTCAGCGTTTACCCAGGTTGCTCGTGTCTTGTTAGCGGAGTGTTGAGAGTGCACTTACATTTCTTGCTTTATGCTTCCAAGTATTAGCAAATTAATCCCTTGCGATGCTGCTGGGCATTGTCATCTCTGTTTTACAGAGGGGTACATGTGGGTGCTTAAGGTCTCACACCTATTCCCTTTCAGGATCAGTGAGCCCTGGTCTACACTAGGACTTTATTTCAGGGGAAAAAAAACAAAACCCCAAGTCGAAGGTGGAGTGTCCACACTATCAAGCCCTTTATTTCGAAATAATGGGCCATGGAATTTGAAATCTGTTCCCCTGCGTTTCATCAGAAGTAATGCTAATTCCAAAATAGTTATTTTGAAATAACAGTAGTGGGGATGCTCTGGTGGCACTATTGCAGAATAATGACTCCCCAGTGCTTCGTGGGGCTCTAAGTCTGAGGTGGCGCATCCACAATAACAGCCTGCCTTGGACTAATTTTGAGGCTTCCCATAGTGTGGGCACGCTAGTTTGAATTTGTTAAATCGGGAGCTAAGTAATTTCGAAACACTTTCCTAGTGCAGACAGGGCCTGAGAGAGTTCTGCACACTGATCCCGCGGCTGGAAGTCAGGGACTCCAAATCGCTTCCTGGGATACAGCATGATCTTGCTCTCTCTGGGCAGAGAGAGTCTGGGCTGGGGAAGATCTTCGTGCCAACTGATGATACGCGCTCACTTCTTTTCAAACCAGCGTATTTTCAGACAGTACATTGGTTGGGGCGGTGCCCATTCTTCCTGCCTGTCTGTGAAGCAGTTAGTGCTCTGTTGGCAAAACCCTCACTAGTGTAGACTCTGTAGTGGCACTTGCAAGCTCTCCCTCCGTGTGCTGCTGCAGTTGACCTTTCCACTTGGGTGTCTGCTTTTGATGCTCATTTCCTGCCATGAATATTAGTTGCATTTGCTTTGACAACTGCGGCGCTGCGTGCTGGGGGAGGAGCTTTATTGTCTCTCCCCTTCTTTTTCTGTGTAGCATTAACTTGGTATGATTTGTGAAGAGCCCTTCTAGCCTTGTCCCCAAAATAGTTGGCGAGCATTGTAACAACCATGGCCCAGCCCTTTCTTTGCATAGAGGAATTTATGTCTGGCTGGAGAAAAATCCTGTTGGCTCATATCCTGCAAATGAGATAAGTGTAACCTGTTTGCCTGTCTGTCATCATCCCCACCTGGGATTTGACCTGAAGCACTTCACTGCCAGAGAGTATCTTCGTTTTAAGTGGGAGAGCAGGGTTTCCAAAAGAGCTGTGACTATAAGAGCAGATCCGGCTGTATTGTAAGGCTGTTGTCCAAAAATAGCCATCACAGCAGAAGTTAGTTCCACGTCAGTAATTTGATAAAGGATTTCATTCTCAATGTAGTTGTTTCAGTTGTCCAGCTAAGTCTCTGCTCAAACAGATGTTTAGAATTGCTGCCAAGTGTTGCAAGTATTCATTCCCTATCACTGCATGCCTGAATAAGGAACTTTCTATAGAATTTCTTCTTAAATGTAACTTATTTTTATCCACAGCTGAAAGTTTCCAAAGTTCAGAAATGCAAGCTGGGTTGCTTACTAGACACATGCATTCTGACAACACAGTTGTAAGAAGTCTGTTATTTATATAGCACCCTAAGAGTGTGGGGTGATGTGCAGACATGAACATAAAACAAGATGTAATACATTCCTGACCTGAAATCCTGAGAGACAGTTTGAATTCCTTGTTTAATTTTGGTGGTTGTTTAATAGGAAAAAGAGATGCTTGCAGCTCAGTTGCAAGAAATGAGGGAGCAGAGTTTGAACCTTTTCCAAAAGAGAGATGAAATTGATGAACTGGAAGGCTTTCAACAGCAGGAACTGGCCAAAGTCAAACATATGGTGAGATTTTTTTGGGGGGGAAGGGAAGGGGCTAGAGTTTTTCTCTTGGTGGTTCAACATTAATTTATTAAGGGTATTAACACTTCAAACCTGTATGATCAGTAAAATCTCAGAGTAATGAACACCTCCGGATTGGAGGCTGTTTGTAATTCTAAAGTATTTAAAAATGGGTAGTCCTGTGGCACTTTACATTGTTTGTTAGTCTATCATTTATTATTTTTGTTAGACTCTAAATTGCCATAGGACTCCTAGTTGTTTTTAAACCTACAGACTATCCCTGTGAGACATTCTAAAATATTTGTAGCCCCAAACAAAATGTAACGGTGGTTCTTCCAAAACTTTACAACTGCACATTGTCTGAATATGGCTTTCAAACTTTACTGTGCAGCAGAAAAACGTTGCTTTTAACCACCTTAATTTAAATGAAACAAGCAAAGAAAGTTTCTTAAGTTTGTCAAATCGTTTTTTAAACTTTCCCTTTATTTTTTAGTAGCTTACATTTAACACAGTACTGTGTCCTTTTGTTTTTTTGGTCAGTCTCTGCTGCTACCTGATTGTGTATTACCACTTCCCAGTAAGGGGCATGGTGGGCTGGTCAGTCTGTAACTCTCTCTGCTGTGTTACTGTGTATGTCTGGAAGTCTGGAGTCTTTACAGTATGTGTTTGCTGCAGTGTCATGTAAATTCCCAGTTGACACTGAATCTGTAGCCTTATTGTGTTTCAAATTGAATCTAGTTTAGCTTGTAACTTTAAAGGCACCAGGACCCCTCATTCAGGGGGCTTTATTAATGTACCAGTTAATCTTTGCCAAAGATCATGTTCTAATGTTCAGCTTTTGAAAAAGGAAGAGTCTCTAAGCAGAGCACAACGGGAGTTAGAGGCATGCAGTCAAGAGCTAGCCCATGCTAAAGAAGAGCTGCAGGTCACAAGTCACTTGTCATCGTGTCTGAGCAGTGAACTGCAAGATTTGCGGCAGCAGCACTCAGAACTGGCAGCACAGAGGTGTGTATGTGGTGGGGTGTCAGCAGTAGGTAGATGTTCTGATTTATTTCCCACATGTCTCTAGGATGCAGAAGGCTAGCCGGTAAGCCTCGCCCTTTACCAGTAGGACTGGAGCAGCTCCCCACCCGCCCTGGGCAGGAGCCTGTCCATGGCCCCGCCCTGCTGCAGATTACATGCTTGCTCCCTGGGAGCCAGCTGCAGAGCCTCCAATGAAGCCGCCTCCCCTCTTCTACTGCCAGCTCTGCAGAATAAAGCTTCTTTAAACTTCATGCTGCAGAGCCCACAGCATGTGTGACCGCCAGCATTCTGGCAGTTACGTGGCTACATTTTTAACCACCTTTTGACATCCCTACTCGTCTCGAGCGCTCCTGGATGTTGCCCACATGTGCAGTGGTCTCAGTGCTTGGTCAGTACTTGAATGCTAGTGTTTGGTAGGGGTTGGTCGGTCTGTCTGTCCCTGTCTAAAACTACCCTTTCACAGTTAAGTTAGAATTGGATCTTGTTTGTATGCAACCTGGGTCACCTAGCCGAGTTCTCGGTGCTCCGGTCACTCCCATTCTTCCCCCTGGTTATAAGTGCTGGAATATGCAATATCTAACTTCTAATATCTAAGCTCCTGTGAATGGCTAGTGCCAGACTGGAATAGGTGTCTTTATGGTTAGAAAAGAATCATAGGTTTCTTAGTCCGTCCCCTTTCCCTTGGCAAGTGCGTTCTGCTTGCTGGCCCACTGAGTTGCTCTTTCTCTTTCTGTGAAGGGATGGGCAATTAGCAGCTGAGGTAAATGCAGAAAATAAGATCGCTGCCCTGGAGCAGAGAGGACAAGAGCTGCAAACCTTGATTCAGCGTCTTTCAGCAGACTTGGAAAATGTAAGTTGAGATCTGTGGTGTCTGATAACTTTCCTTTGTCAGCATAATGCAGTTCACGTGCCAGTTCAAACTGCATCAGCGCTGAAATATTTCAATTTGCGTTGGCTCTGTCAAAACTGAGTTTCGAACCAAAATATATTTTCCCAAATGCCTTAGACTCAAGTTGCCGCCTCTAGTTGTGAGAAGAGATTGGAGACGTCACAGATGGAGCATGAATCTCTCAAACTGGAATATGAGCAACACAAGCTAAAGGTACTGTCTTTGGAGGTGTGTGGCCCTTTGGTCTGACGCAGTATAACTATAATGTTCGTGGGTGTGACATGAGGGGGCACTGCAGCTGGTCACGCTTTTGGTGTCCTCCAGCTTCGATACCTGGGACGATTGTTTGTATTTAATCAGTTGGGAAGGCATAAACGCAGTGCAACATGGCTCCTTAATTGTTTCGGATGAGATTTTTATATTCACTTCCTCAGTTGAAATATGACCCCAGGCATGTGATCTGCTACCCGCAGGTAAAAACACTCACATCTAATAAATGTAACTTTGGAGCAGGACTTAATTTTTGTAAGTACCTTTTTATAGCAATGTTCAGCCCTGTGTAGGGCTATAACCTGGAGAGCTTTGAACACCTAGAAAGTGGGGTAAATGTGTGAGAACTGCCAGCTGTGATAGCTACTCTGAATAAATTCAAAGCTTACGTAAAGGATGGCCAATGAAGCTTTGCTGTCTGTGGGACGATATGTTAACAAATTGGGGAGGCGCAGGAAGGAAATTGTGTAATGAAATGAGGTACCACAGAAATCTCCGGCATTAGTCATACTAAATTCAACGTATTAGTACCTAGGACACCCAGAAATCATCAGAAGAAAATCTAACTTCAGTTGGACATACAACTCATAAGTTAGAGGCCCTGCTTGCATAATTTTTCCAAATGGGAAATAATGAAATTGAAGAGCTCCATTGGAAAGACCAAATGGACCAAGTAAATAACATGAATTGGTAGAATAACAGTAGCTAAAATGACTCTCTTCCAGGTTACATTTTTATTTCAAACACTTCCTATAGAAATGCCAACTCATGATATTAAACCTGCATTCTCCATTTTATACTTTATTGGGATGAAAAGGTTAATCTAGGCCTAATAAATAATTCAGATGCCAATTATATAGGTCAGTATTGAATGGCTAGGTGGAGTCAGTGGAGCATCAGAGAAGGCAGCCACAACCCTGACAAAGGGAATAATCTCTACCTAGCTTCATGTTGAATTTGTACATATCTAATATTTAATTTGTACATATGTAATGTGCCCTGGCTCTGTCTGCACTGCAAACACAACGAGTCTTAGAGCCTGGGTCAGACCATTTGGATTCATGTTATGGGGTAAAATTCCAGTGTAGATGTTTGCACTCAAGTTTGAGCCCAGGTGTTGGAGCCCACGCCTGAATACCTGTGGCATGAGCCCCCTGCGTAGAGACCCCTTCACAGGTACAAAATTGTATCCGCAGCTGCAAAAGTGATCTGGGGATAACTACAAATATGCAGGGTTCAAGATGAAAAAAATTGTATCTGCATTCGTAGCTGCAAAATCAGCTGTGGATATCCACACATCGACAGGTGCGCAGACCCATGGAGATAAAGCCGATATCTGCAGGTTTGCAGGGCATCTCCACTTGAGATGGTTGACCTGGGCTCTGAGACTCTCATAGGCTGTGTCCAGACTCAGGGGTTTTTTCGGGAAAAGTAGCCTTTTCCCGAAAAAACTTCCCCTGCGTCCAGACTCAAGCCACGTTCTTTCGAAATAATTTCGAAAGAACACGGCTTTTCTTTCGATGGCGGTAAACCTCATTTCACGAGGAAGAACGCCTTCTTTCGAAAGTTCCTCTTTCGAAAGAAGGCGTTCTTCAATGTAAATAGGGCTTCCTCGAAAGAGAGCATCCAGACTCGCTGGGTGCTCTCTTTCGAAAAAGCGGATTGCTCTTTCGAAAGATCCGCCTGCAGTCTAGACGCGATCTTTCGAAAGAGCCTCTTTCGAAAGAAGCCTGCAGTCTAGACATAGCCATAGGTATTATTTTTTTCTCAGTGCAGACATACCCCCAGATAACATACGGTGACTTTCACTAAAGAGAATTTTTCTGATGGACGGGCGGGCCCCCTCCCCCCCTCAGTGAAACCACTATGTACTCTGTGTGGCTATAAAGATGGTGCTGGCTTTTTGTTCCATCAGGTGACTGTTGAAATTGATGAGAAAAATAAACTCCTTGAACGTCTGCAGGAAAAAGTGTCTTCCCTGGAAAAGAGACTTGAAGGGAATTTTTCAGGGGATGAACACGCATGGGAACTGCTCAAGGAGGTAACACTTCTACAGACAGCCCTTGACAGTGTCTGGCTATTACTCCTTCCATTACAGGACCGATGCAGTGTCTAATATCCTGCAGCTGCTCCTGCTCAGTGAAATCTTAGCCCTGCTCGAGATCATGTCTTCAATGGGAGTGGCACACAGAGTGCAAGCCATAACACCAGGAGCCAAAGAATTAACCTTAACGTATGTTCCCCCTCTAGTCTGCTCTGGGAGCTCAAAGGGCTTGCAAAGCAGATGGGAAAGAACTCTGGGTTCTCTTAAGCAAAGTTCAAGCCATCCGTTGTATCCACTGAGCGAAGCCCCGAGCACGGATAATAAAAGTTGAGAGTACACTTAGGGGAACTGAGCACAACCAATAGCTCCAGTTACCATCTGCCCCTGTTCTGCAGCCCTGATGCACCATCTTGTTTCTGAACAGAGGCAGGTTTCCCTAGGCTAGGTCTGCACACGAGGACACCCGCTTTCCCTTGACAGCACCTGCAGTGCAGAGCACCCGAGCCGGGTGCAGCTAGTAGGTAACCTGGCTCAAATAAATCTAAGTCCAGTTTGAAAGCTGCTGGAGGAGGCAGCACAACACCCTTGGAGAGGTAAATGCTACAGCTAGTAACTCTTGAAGCCCCTGCTGGGGCATTAAGTAGCCACGCAGGGAGGCTGTGCAGAGGGGTATGGCAGGTTCTCTGACTCACCGAAGTGGTCCTGGATGCTGATTACATCCTCCGCTCGGACGGCAGCGACACCCCCCCAGGGCCTGTTTTCAGTACAGACGCCGTCCGGTAGTCATCCATGGCTTTGCTCGGGCAGCCCTGCGGGGCAAAGGCCCCAGTAGTTGCAGTTTGGGGTTCTGGCATCCTGCATTCGCTGTAAACGCAGCGTTGAGAGGTTCAGCATCTGAGTCCCTCTGTCTGACCTGTGATGGTTTTGCTCATCCTCAGAAAACTGCTCTGGAGCAGAAACTGGATGACACCAGACAGCAACTATTGGCAGCTAGAACCAGTCATGCTGAGACCGTGAATCTACTGGAAACCCAGGTATTTCCTCTGCCTTCACCAGTGCACTCAGTGGGGCTGGCACTTTGGCCGTGTAGAGGAGCAATTGGACATCCAAATAATTTGTTAAAACTAATACAAACTGCCGTCCTTCCAGTCTTGTGTTCAGAAGATTTGAGCCTGAGTGTCACCTTGAGCTTTGAAAGGAAACCGTAGCTGAGCATACCCACCTTGGGAACGAGGATGTGTGTCCCACACAGAAATATTGGGTGGTATCTGGAGCCCTGATTTCATTCTAGTCCTTCTGTCACGGGGTGACATTGGCCTTTTTTTGGCGGTGGCAGTTGACCCCTTCCTTCCCCCAGTTCAGCGTGAAAGAGGATGCCTGTGCCCTAGCCTAGACCCGTGTTCCCAGGATTTTTATCCAGATGTGGAATAAATTCTGTTCTGTGCATTGATGCATGTGTGGTTGTGCACCACCGTTAGAAACACGTGCTGCTGGCTGTGGTCGCTCTGCTAATCTGCGGGGCGGCATTTGAATCTCTCCTGGGTGGCCACAAAAGTGCTCCGCTTACAAGGAATGCTGCCTAGATCAGGAGTTCTCAACCTTTTTCTTTCTGAGCCACCTCCCCACCACCTCAACATGCTATAAAAACTCCACCGCCTGCCTGTGGCACAAGAACTAGTCTTGTGCCGTTAAAAGCCAGGGCCAGCATTAGGGGGGAACATGCAGGAGAGCTGCCCAGAAGCTACATTGCTCATGCTCCAGCTTTGGCCCTGGGCTTCGTCCCTGTGGGGTGGGGCTTTGGCGTTCTACCCTGGCCCCAGCGAGTCTCATGCTGGCCTTGCTTGGCAGCCCCCATGAAACCTGCTTGTGGCTCCCCATGGGCCCTGGACCCCGGCTGAGAACCACGGCCCTAGGTCCTTCTAGGTCGCTGAAGGAAGAGGCTTGGGGAAGGGGATGCTGCAGTGAGCCCAGGGGTGGACTGTGGCAAGTGCCAGGAAAAAGGGGTCCTGGAGGGAGATGCCCTGAGCAGGGACTCTCTAGTGTGGGGCTGAGTCTGGGCTCCAGGAAGAGACTCATGGGACAAGCGTGTGGGGCCCTGGCATGGGGATGGTGGGTGATCTGGGACCCAGTGGCCTTGTGCTGGGACCTAAGAGCTCTTGTACTGTAGCCTGGTTTGCTCGGGGGGGCCGAGGGGATGGTTTTGCTAATGGGACCTGTGGGCTTGGCGTCTGAGAAGGAGCCGAGTTTGAACTTGTCATTGGGACCCTGTTCCTTTCTGCGGGTAGATAAAGGACAAATGGAGGCCGGGGCACTTGTCATGCCACAGCCAGCGACTGGAGGGTGCAGGAGGCAGGGATCACCCTGGGATATGCTCCCTGATCTACGTTCATTTCCAGGTCACCAAACTGAACAGCCAAGTGACTGACGCACAGGCCTCGCTCGGCGAGAGAGAAGAGTTTCTGAAGACTTTTAGAGAAAGCAGCATGTGCCAGGTTAGGCCATTTCCTGAAAGGAGCACTCACAGGGCTGCTGGTTAGCCTCCTCCTCTAGTTCCTTCCCTACCCTGTTTTAGCAGTTTGAGTGCTGCTCGCCTGCAAGAGATCCAGAGGGACAAGGCACTAACTTACTCTTCTCTTTTAGCTGAAAGAGCTTGAACAAGCCTTGAAGCTTGCTAATGGGGCGCTAGTGAGGAGCAAAGAAGAGATCGGTGAGAGAGATCTACAGATCCAAAAGCTGGTGAGAGCTTAATCAGGCTACTCATGCTAACGCAGTCGCCACCATTTTCAGTCACAAAGTCGTGTTTCGATGTTCAGGCTGCACCTGTCGGAATGCTTCCTGCTAATACTGTGACATGGTCCCTAGGTGGGCAGATGTATCTGTGTGTGAGGGTAGGCACCGGACGGCCAAAGAGGGAAGGCATAGCATTGTCATTCTTTGGCAATGAAATGGGGATAAGCAGTGTGAAGTTGTCTGCCTCTGGCTACAAGCTCCATGTATGCTGCCCTCCAGTAATGACCGGATTAATCTGGCCTTAACTTACAGTCATGGGTTTTTTTTCCCCCCAAAGCAAACAGATCTAGAGGTTGAGAGCAGCAAATTACAAGACCATATCTCAGTGGCAAAGCATCAGTGTGCAGAACGGATTAGCAGCCTGGAGGCACAAATAGCTGCCCTTGAAACCGCTCGAGAGTTTGATAAAACCACTTCCCAGCACAAGATAGTAAGTATAGAATCCCGTTAAGAGGCATTGCCTATGCCAACGGTTCTCAAACTTTTGGGGCTCTGGAGCCCTTTACATGTGTAAAAATGTATGCGGAGCCCCAGCGGTCCACTGATTGTATGTGTTGTACCTATCGATGTTTCCAGTTTGTCAGCCTCGCGGACTCCTGGAGATGTCTCACGGAGCCCTGGGGCTCTGCAGAGCAAAGTTTGAGAAACACTGGCCTATGCATAAATCAACATCTCTTTGGGGATGGGGTGTGTGGCTGTTGAATTTATATCGTGAATGGTAAAATGCTAGTTCTTGGCACTCGAGGTATTTCCATTTTACAGAGCCAGTTGGAACAGGAAAATGAAGATCTTATTGCAAGCAGAAAGGAATATGAAAGTTCGTTACAGAAACAAGAGTTTGAACTGGAAAGACTAACGGTATGGGCCTGCTTGTGATGACTATGCTTAAGTAAAGAACCAAGTTTGAGAAACAGCTAATGGCAAGCTCCACCCTCTTCTCCATACTTACAGCTGCAGTTGTGTCCGATCGTGGTTAATAACTTTCATGCAGATTCCTCTTTGGAATGAAAATACCTATACACAATACAGACCAATAAAGATTCGTTGCAAATGGCTGGTACTTTCTTGACACAGAATACTTAGGCCTTACTAAATACTGGCATAAACAGTACATTCTACTACTAAGAGGGATACTGTCAAGCATGAATAGTTTTGAAATCCTCTGCGGAAGCGAATTTCAAAAGGAAAGTATAGAATCGCATTAGCAATGCATCATTTCATTCCTTTAGCAATTTCTGCTATCTGAATTAGCTGACCACTAAACAAAACACTGTTTGGTCATTTTAAGCCTAAACCTTCTCTCCTTTAAGATTATAATTTCATAGAAAGAGCTCAACATTCTAAATATTGTGTGTGAGATGTAGAATTTAAGAATTGGCCACTGGAGGGAGTCATTGTCTTGTTAAAATGAGGCATTATAAATGTGTTCATCTTTAATAGGGCATGAGCTGTTTCTTTCACAAAAGCTTACTTCTGCAGATGCTCGAAGAGAGAGGCCCGAATACAGAGCTGGGAGTATAGCAGCAGCGCTAATCACATCCGAGTGGATGTGCCTCACCTCCAACAGCGATGAGAAGGTGAAAGTCCCTGAAGGGGAAGTTACTTACTGTAAGGAGAGAGCCATTCCCTGTCCATTCAAACCTCTTCGGCAGGTGTCAGATTTGCATGTAAATTGCAGCTCAGCAATTCGGCGTTGTAGTCTGGTTTTGAAGCTTTGTTGCCTACTGGCAACTTGCATGTCAGTAACCGTGTCCAGGGAGGGTCAAGTGCCCCCTGCTGGTTTTTGTGTGTTCTTGATGTCTGATTAATGCTTTTTTTTTTTTTTTTTTTTTCATAAACAGTCAAGTCTGTTCAATGTATGTGGCGGGGGGCATTGCTGGCACAGACCACATTAGTAGATGTTGACATGGTGTGGTTGGGTCTTGTTATGTTGTCGCTAGGCTAGGTGTGTGGCCAGAGTTGGCAGCAGGGGTTGGTGTTTCCGTTGTGGTGTGTGAAGTTGGTGGTCTGTGAGAATGAGGGCTATGGTCTGATAGATTGTAGGTCCTTGATGATGTGTTGGAGAGGGTTTAGCCTGGGGGCAGTAGGCAGTGAGTAATGGTGTTCTATTGCTTTATTTGTTGGGTCTGTCCTGTAGTAAGTGACCTCTGAGTACCTACCTGGCTTTGTTAATCTGTTTCTTCACTTCTCCAAGTGAGTATCGTGTTTTTAAGAATGCTTGATAGAGATCCTATGTCCTGTAGGTGTTTGTCTCTGTCTGAGGGATTGGAGCAAATGCGATGATATCTTAGGGCATGTGTATAGACCAGGGGCGGGGAACCTTTTTTGGGTCGGGGGCTGCTGACTCACATTAAAATCAGTTGGGGGCCACACACAAGTGAGAAGCAAAAACCCCAAACAAACCCTCACTGATGAGGCCCCTAACTGAGGAGGAGGAGGACACTCCCCGCATTCCCCTTGCTTACAGAATGGGGAGCGACTGTCTAGGAAGGAGTCCTGCAGAAAGGGATCTAGGAGGCATAGAGGACCACAAGCTAAATAGGAGTCAACAGTGTGGCACTGTTTAAAAAACCCACAAAAACCCATGATTCTGGGCTGCATTAACAGAAGTGTTGTGAGCAAGACCTGAGAAGTCATTCTCCCGCTCTACTCTGCGCTGATTAGGCCTCAGTTGGAGTATTGTGTCCAGTTCTGGGCACCACATTTCAGGGAAGATGAGGAGAAATTGGGGAAAGTCCAGAGAAGAGAAACAAATGTGATTAAAGGTCTAGAAAACATGAGGTATGAGGGAAGGCTGAAGGAATTGGGCTTAGAAAAGAGAAGACTGAGAGGGTACATGTTAGCAGCTTTTATGTATCTAAAAGGGTGTCATGAGGAGGGAGAAAAATTGTTCTCCTTGGCCTCTGAGGACAGGACAAGAAGCAATGGGCTTAAACTGCAGCCAGGGAGGTTTAGGTTGGACATTAGGAAAAACTTCCTAACTGTCAGGGTGGTGAAACACTGGAATAAATTACCTGGGGAGGTTGTGGAATCCCCATCACTGGAGATATTGAAGAGCAGCTTGGACAGACACCTGGCAGAGATGGTCTAGACGGTGCTGGGTCCTGCCGTGAAGACGGGACTGGATGCAATGACTCTCGAGGTCCCTTCCTCTTCTAGGATTCTATACCAGAGCCTGGGGGCCAGCCTGGTGGATTTTGCATGCTGGGGGGATGCTCTGAGCTTTGGCCCCCAGGCCTGAGGTTCCTCACCCTTGCTGTAGACGATGGATGGTGTGATGTGTTCAGGATGAAGCTGGAGGAGTGTCGGTAAGTCCAGAAATCACTAGGTATAGCAGGGGTGGAGAACCTCAGGCTTGGGGGCCAGATGCGGCTCCAGCTTGTCTGGATCCAGCCCCTGAGGCTCAGAGCCCTACCCAGAACTGGGAAGCCCATGCTGGTGCTCCAGATCCCCCTCCCCCACCCCCGTCCCACTGTGGGGCTGAAGCACACCAAAATCTCCTAGGTGCCGCCCCCTCTCCCCCCGCGCGCAGGCCCTGGTATAGAATCCTAGAACCGGACGAGACCTCGAGAGCTGTGTAGAGTTTATTTGTGACCATCGCTTATTTGCACTGAAGTGTCCAGGCAGTGGCACTCTTGTGTGGCCTGGTCCAGGCTGAGATGGATGTTGGGATGGAAACTGTTGAACCCGTCCCTGCAATAACCTGTCCACACGTCTACCCTAGTGACATCGTCACTGAAGCTAACCACATCAGCTAGACCAGCAAAGGCTTGTTCACCTGCCCATCCTCTCATGTGACATCTGCCAGCAGTGCCCCTCTGCCACGGACACTGGAATAAAAAAAAAAAAAAAAAAAAGCATTAATCAGACATCAAGAACACACAAAAACCAGCAGGGGGCACTTGACCCTCCCTGGACACGGTTACTGACATGCAAGTTGCCAGTAGGCAACAAAGCTTCAAAACCAGACTACGACGCCGAATTGCTGAGCTGCAATTTACATGCAAATCTGACACCTGCCGAAGAGGTTTGAATGGACAGGGAATGGCTCTCTCCTTACAGTAAGTAACTTCCCCTTCAGGGACTTTCACCTTCTCATCGCTGTTGGAGGTGAGGCACATCCACTCGGATGTGATTAGCGCTGGTGCTACACTCCCAGCTCTGTATTCGGGCCTTTCTCTTCGAGCATCTGAGGAAGTGAGCGGTCTCTCATGAGAGCTTGCGCCCTAATAAATTTGTTCGTCTTTAAGGTGGCACCGGACTCCCTGCTCCCTACTGAAATAGACTAAGAAGGCTCCTCCTGAAACATCCTTATTAGGTTCTTTTAAATGGGAAAGAGGTGGAAGTGGCAGGTGTGGTAGTCCGATTGATGGAAACGTGGCAGGTGTGGTAGTCAGATTGATGGAAACGTGGCAGGTGTGGTAGTCCGATTGATGGAAACGTGCACCTGCCCACGGTGCAAAAGTGATGCCAGAGCCGGCCATATATGTTTAAAAAACCCCACTGCAGCTAATGCGTAGGGATCACTCGCCTGCAACTGACATGCAGCTGCCTCCGGAGTGGGATGTGGCAACAGTGCTGCAGTGAAGATTGACTACTTCAGTAGAAACCCAGACAGTGTGAGATGTGAGGTCAGCTGAATGCAGTTGCCTGGGTTTGTAAAAACAGCTCCTGCCAGTCTTAGATTAACATTAATTTAGCAAGAATTCTGATAGGAGGGATGAGATTATTTGCTAATTACCCATCCGTCCCATTTGTTAATGGGTTAGGATCTTAGAGCTGAGAAACTACTGCCTCTTAGTCTTGTTCCTGTGAAAGCTTCATACTGAATTTTCTCCCCGAAGTAATGATTGAATTATTGCTGGCTTGCAGAAGGAATTAAGCAGCAGAGAAACAGTCAGTGTTGGAATTGCCAGAGCCCTGGAAGAAGCACAGAAACAAAGGGCGGAATTACAGCAGCAGGTAAATGTCTTGCTCTACCCCACACAGCAGTCTGGACCCTGACTTCATAATTATCCTAATACCCAGGGGCCCAAATCGGGATTAGGCCCCAATCCTCCAGCAGAGTCTCTGTCCCCGAGAGTTTCCATTGAAACGCTTCCCTGGTGCTGCTTTTGTGGCTGTGTGATCTTACCCAAGGGACGGGTTTCGCTGACGTCAGTAGGACTGTGCATGTTCCACGTTAGGTATGTGAGTGTGTGTTTGCAGGGTCAGAGGTTGAGGTAGGATGCAGCAGGTAGATGTAATGAACAGCTGAAGAGAAGGAGGGTGAGGTGCCAGTGATAGGAACACGTGGCTTATGGGCTGAGGACCCAAGACAAAGCTGCTCCATCCTGTTGCCTATTTTCCATAAGCATCGCAAGCTGCTTCTTACAGTTGTGTTTTCTCCTGGATCACAGTGTGTGGGGTTCGAAAGGGTCCCAACTTAATGCCAGAATTGCTTGCTGTGCGCTGACAAGTTGGTGTTCAAGGATTCATTGTGAAGTCCCCAGTCATTTTCTCTACAAAAGTGTCACTGGACAACAGGCTTGTGCTTTTTTGTTGCTGGTAACCATGTGGGCTGTCAGCTAAGCAGTAGTCTCCAGGGTCACGTCGGAGGCCTTGGCTCTGGATGGGAGAGATGCGTTCTGTGTCCCTACATCCCGGAATGCCGGTAGACAGGGTTTTACATGAGTTCGTGTGCAGCCCTGTGGGACTGTCAGCCAAGTGCGCGTACAGAGAGCGAACGTTTTTCCTTGCCTGGATGGGGAGTGTCTGCAGCTTAATAAAGATTGAAAACCAGCAGTGTGTATTGCACGTTCACAGCTGGTCTCTCCTTGCAAAGAAGGCCTGGCTTGCTGGAATCACCGTCCTGTCATCTGACAAAGCGATCTTCCGTAATTCTGATCTGTTTTGGCCATTTGTTGTGTTACTTTGCTAGGCATGGTAGCGATTAGCCCGGTGAACTAATCTGTACTCCCCAACCTCTCATCTGCGTTCTCTGTGGCCTGGAACACTTTGTCGGTTTTTTAAATCGTATTTGGCGAGACAGAGCCACTGAGCAGCTACAGCAACTGCAACCCCCTCTGCTTCTCCCAACATACGTCTCAAGCAGTCACTGAATGAACGTCTGGTGCTCAGCAGCCAGCCCAGCGAGCTGACGCCTGTTGTAGTAAATCACTGGAAAGGCACTCTGCTGCTGATGGGTCTTCATCCTGCTGCCTCGGTCCACCCACTGCAGAGCACTTTCAGCTGCAGTCCTGTCCGGTTTTTAATTGGTAACTATTTTATAGCTGCCATCTGCTGGCCAGCAGTTGCAATTCCAATGCAGGGTTGACCCAGGGCAGTATCTTTCACTGACGTTCTCATCCTGCTTTCAAGCCCTACCTCTTAACGAGGGACCAGCACTGGCCGAGGTGGGATACCCTGTAGCCTTTTGGCTAGGCCATGGACGGGCAACTTCCAGCCTGTGGGTCAGATCCAGTCTGGTTAGTCCCTGGCAGACTGTCACCTGCTGAGGTGCAGGTAAGTATAGAGGTATCGGGTGATCACAGCTCTTGCTGGCTGTGGATCACCCTTCACAGCAGGAAGGGGGGTCTCAGTCTGTGCTGCTTCCTGCCACACCTATTGGCCATAAGCAACGATCCACAGCCAGTGAGAGCTGCCATCGCCTGATACCTGGGGAGGCACAAGTAAACATAGCAGCGGCCCACCAGAGACTGACCCTGGGGAGCCGTTTTTTAATTACCTACTCCTGAGCCAGGCCATGGAAAGACTTGAGTGTTTGTGGGTTCTGTGTATTAACTGCTCCTCTTTACTTCCTCGTGTCTGGTTTCAAGGTTGCAGACCTGATCTTGCTGATAAAGGAAAAGGACCAGCTGATCAATGAAAAAACTGACGTGCTTCTAAAAAAAGAGGAGGAGCTAAACCAACTCAGTCAAGGTTAGACCAAAGGGGTCTCCTCATCCCTTGGTAAAGTCTCTGTAGCTCAGGGCTTGCTTGGCTGTACTTTATCAGAATGCTAACATTTCTGATGGGAAAAGGTGCAGAGAAGAGCATCCAATATGATTTGAGGTACCAAATAGCTTCCGTATGAGGGGAGATTAAAAAGTCTGGGGCTGTTCCGTTTCCTAACGAGATGACAAAGGGGAGGATATGCTAGAGACCATGTTCCCACTAATCTTTTTCCATCCACGTCTGGAATACATTTTTATGCACATTGAAGCTTGTGTGAATGTGCACCACCACTAGAAACACCCAGCTTAGCTGTGGGCACCGGCATTTGAATTTCTCCTGAGCACACAGCTTACAGGGAACATTGGCTAGAGGTCTAGTGTGGTGTCACCTACCCCTTCAAATTACACCGTAACTAGGAGTCACCTGTTGGAAGCTCCGGGGCAGCTTGCATTGCTGTGCAGTGCCTCCTGCATGGCTGGAGAGTGGAAATAGGCCTGACGCTCTCCCAGTTGCCCTCGGCGCAGCTTGGTCTTTTTGTAAAGAGATTGACTAGAAAAGCTGCTGTTTAATTGTGGCACAAACCATGTCTGTGCTGACCCAGATCATGGAGCGCTCCTGCTGCAGATGCACCTGTTGCAGTCTGACATGGACGCATGCAAGAGCCAAGCCACAGAGAGGGAGGAAGCAGCAGGAAAGCAGATCAGTGTTTTGAGTTTGAAGATACAAGAGCAGGAGCACCTGATGGCCAGTGGGAGAAACGTGAGTAAAACTGCAGGGCAGCTTCCTCCAGTCTTGTCAGGAAAAACAAAACACGCCAAGACTTCAGCTCCCCCTGCTGTGCCCTCTCTGTGGAACATGACAGGCTTTGGACTGATCACCCTGTCTGCTGCCTTGAACCACCAGACTTGTCTTTGTCACTGGGCACATGGCCTAGAAAAACCCAATCCCCTTCCATTTGTAAGTGGCCTGTGAAAAGCAGCACCCCTAGTCAGACTCCTTGTGAGTGTCTGTCTCCTGTCCAAAGTTACCATTTAAAAGCAGTGGGGTTGTCTTTGGGCAGTGGCACCTGACTGCCAAAGTTGTGGTCTCTGAGATCTGCTTTGCTCTTTGCCTTTCAGACTTTGGCATTAGAAGCAGCAAGAGCCTTGAATAAGCACTTGCATGACCCAGAAGCCAGTGAGGTGGAACAGAACGGAGAGGTGGCTACTGCAGACATCATTCAACTTCAGAAAGACAACAGAGACTTGGAGCAGCAAATTTCTGAGAAAAACAAGGTACCACAATACAGTGGAAATGGTATTTTCCCCTGTGGCTCAGGTGGCTGTTACTCCTAATAAGCAGCTCGCCGTGTGTCCGAGAGGGCCACCAGGCCTGCAAAACATCAGCTACATGGAATATGTGATCCTAGGCACTTACTGTCCTGCCAAACTTGCTGCTGCCGAAGGATTTCCTGTCCCCTCCTACCTCAGAAACAGCTTCCCACACTGTGGGCTCACTATTCTCCCCTTTCCTCAGACCTGCTTCTTCTAAGAAGCCTCATTATTAGGTGAGGATCAATACGTTTGGTGTTGTACAAACATCAAGGCAGAGCCTTCCATGGAAAGACGCCGCTAGAATACAGAGCTGGAAACACGGGATATGCAGAGGACAAAGTTGCTTTATTTTTTTAGCCTCTATTGAAGGGAATGCGTTAAGGAAGGAATGGTTCTTGAAAGTGGGGATTGACTCGCTGGCTTAAAGGGGATCATTCCAGGCCTAGGCCCTGTCTCCATACTCCATTATTGCTTAGCTCGCTGCAGACTTAGGTAGCCATATAAACAACAGAACATCCTACTACTCTGTCAGAACAGAAATTAGAGCCTGGTTCCCTTTTTTTTTTTTTTTTTTTTTTTTCTAGTTAACCTCATATTCTCTCTAATGCTGTCACTCATCTGAACAGGGATTTAGCATCTAGTCTCTCCCGTCCTGTGCCTGCAGCACTGTGTGGCTGAAAGAACAGAGCATTCACACTTATCCAATTACCCCTCTCCAGAGCCAATACTTGGTTCAATGCTTGCCCCATTAGCTAGAACTTCAATTGTTGAGTTTTTTTTTCATTTGAAACTTGTAGGTGTGAGCATGTCCAAATATAAAGCTTCCATGCTATTCATGTCAATTTCTCTGTCTTGTGTGTGTGTGTAGATGATAAAACAGTTGCAGCAAAGAATGACAGAACTCAAGAAGACCCTGCAAAAAGAGCTGGTAAGTCTTTAGCCTTTCCAGCCAGTTGATGTTGACAAGGTATTTACACTGCCAGTTTTTAAAAGCTGGCTGCAATCTGGACTGTAAACCCTTTGTGGTAGGGACTGTCGTCATGTATGTTTAAAGGGTGCCCAGCAAAACGAATCTCTAGTCTGGGGAAATAAATATTCATTAATCCCACAAAAGCTCCAGACCTTAGTGGCATTAATCACAATGTAAGCACCTCATTAATTGGTAACTTCAGCATAAGTACAAAATTATACCAGCCCTGATCTCTTTTGCACCTATGGAAAATCCAGGATGGCAGCTGTATCTGGTATGATCAGTTCACTGCAGTTCCTAAGAGGTGAGGGCTTAGGGTTTTCTCGTTGCTCTTGGCATTAGTCTCGGCTTCCTTTGTTCATCTCTGGAAACTTGCACTAGCAAACGAGAGGGAGGAGATATTTCTTCATTGACTCTTCCTCGCCATCACTTCAGTGAATAGAAGGATGCAGAAGAGGATTTGGGCACATCTTGATTTTTGCTGTGGGTTATAGAAGACCTGGCTCCTGGGTGATCGAGGATTCCCTGATGCTTGGAAAGGGAAGAATTGAGCTTTAGTTGCTATTCTGCTGTTTCTGGAGATCAGTGTGGCAGTGGCACTGCTGTCCAGCTCCAGGAAAAACTCTCCCTGCAATCCCAGATAGGAGGGAAGGGATACAGAATGAAGTAGTGAGCCCTGTCTAGACAAACTCGGACTTTGTATTAAAATTTGTGACGTACCTGCCTTTGAAGGCTTTGGTGGGAGTGGATATTCAGGCCTCTCCTCTACAATACCCCCATGCAGATCCAGCTCAGATTAGAGGCAGCACCCCTTGGTTTAGTTCCAGACATGGCTTGTGTGATGTATTCACCAACAGCTGCTGTGCTGTCTGAGCAGAGGCGCCAAGGATTTAATGGATACCGAGAGAGCCATCCTTTTCTCCCTCTTTGTCGCTCTTTCAGGGTAAGGTGAGGAGAAGTTTTTGCTCCAGTGTTCCTGCCTGGCTGTACCTGTCCTATGGTGAGAGGACTTCACTCTCCAGTGCTGTCAGGACAGCACCTTTCCTCAGTACTAAAAGGTAGTTTTTCCTTTTCAGAAAATAAGGCCTGACAACGAGATCCCTGAAGTCCGTGAGAAACCAAACTCTGAAGTGCCTAATGTTGCCATGACCGTCACAAACAATGCGGATTTAAATGACTCACGGGAGATCAACTTTGAATACCTTAAACATGTTGTACTAAAGTTCATGTCCTGCCGGGAATCTGAGGTAAAGACTTGTTCCTGAGTCTCAGGTTGACAGCTTTCCTCTCTTTCTTGCACACGCCACACTCAGTTATGCTTTTCCCAGCTAATTACAGTCTAGAAAGAGAACTGCAACTGCTGTGTTGTATGTTTAACTGCATTAATATTTGAAGCATCTGGGCTACATCTACATTGACATGATCTTGCGCAAGAACTCTTTTGCAGAAGAGTTCTTGTGCGAAAACTCTTCCAGAAGAGAGCGTCTACACTGGCATGTGCTTTTGCGCAAGAGCATCCTTGCCAGTATAGACGCTCTCTTGTGCAAGAAAGCTCTGATGGCCATTTTAACCATAGGGCTTTCTTGCGCAAGAAATTCATGTTGCCTGTCTACACTGGCCTCTTGTGCACGAACAGTTGCACAAAAGGGTTTCTTCCTGAGTGGGAGCATCATAGTTCTTGCGCAAGAAGCACTGATTTCATATATTAGAACGTCAGTGTACTTGCGCAAGAACTCGCAGCCAGTGTAGACAAGCAGCAAGTTTTTGCGCAAAAGTGGCCGCTTTTGCGCAAGATCGCGCCAATGTAGACACAGCCCTGGTGTCCTGTTGACCTTGGTAGGATGTTTTCATTTAAAATATTGGTACTAGGGGCGTGAACGTGCATGTCAAACTAAAGATACATTAGGGTATTGTATGTCTCCATTCTGCCTTTTAAAAGTTTCAGGGGGTAGCCGAGTTAGTCTGTAACAGGAAAAACAACAAATAGTCGGGTAGCACTTTAAAGACTAAAAAAACATGTAGATGGGATCATGAGCTTTTGTGGGCACAGCCCACTTCTTCAGATGACTGGAGTGTTGGAAATCCTGAACTCGGTAGGTTCTGGACTTCCAACACTCCAGTCATCTGAAGAAGTGGGCTGTGCCCACAAAAGCTCATGATCCCATCTACATGTTTTTTTAGTCTTTTAAGTGCTACCAGATGATTTGTTGTTTGTTTTTCCATTCTGCCTATTCACCAGCCAGGTTAACCCTAGGAACTACTTCGCGTTATCATAGGAACCGAGGGCATTCTTCATTGAAATAACTAGGCAAATTAAATACGTCCCTCGAACTATGCAAATCACAACAGAGACTTGTGAATCAAGAAAATCTACCTGCCAAATGCACAAGAAGTGAATCACCCCAGTGATTTAATGAAAGGGAGTCCCTTATGTCTGAGGCAGCCAACACCTGTGAGTGCAATAGGAGAGGCATCAGACCAAACCACAGATCCTTAGTGCTACTCCATAGTCTGAGTGGACTTAAGAGACCTGGGAGTTTTGCCAAGTATGAACAAACTGTTTTCTTTCAGGCGTTCCACCTAATTAAAGCTGTATCTGTGTTACTTAACTTTTCACAAGAGGAAGAAAATATGCTCAAAGAAACATTGGAATACAAGGTAAGATTTGTGTTTGTGTGCGTGCTCCCCTATGAGCCAGAACAGTGAGGATTTTCAGGTCGTGGAAGGTGATAAACAGGATAAAGCAACATATTTCGCAAATGTTAGCTTCTGTGTCTAATGACAGTTGCTGTTTTCATGCAGTTAGCACAGACCAGTGTGTTTAGAAACATTCAAACTTGGTTACAGCATATAAACTAGAAGTTGATTAAACAATGTATCTGTCGGGTGGTTTGCCGTTTCATTCTCTTGCAGGCACTAGTCATTTTTTGTTTTCTTATCAAAGCCTCAGCCAGCTCCTTGTTTTGTGCCTGAATCTCACTTAGGTGGCCTGCCATCTCCCCATAGGTGGCTTGTGTTTAATCTGTTTTTGTTAGTCTCTGCTCTTTTTCCTCATGTGGTAGTGATCACTGGCCGCTGTACCTGAGGGCACAGTGAGCTGCAATTTGCATTACATGGTTATTCGTGATTATTCTTGCTGCTTCTGCTCCCTGTGATAAAGTCTTCTGTTGTGTTGCTGGAAGCAATGCATGACAGCAAAGGCCAGCACAGGACAGAGGGCAGCTGTGTGGGTTAGTGGACTCAGCATTGGGTAGGAATCCACTAGCTCATTAGTTCTAATCCTGGCTCCCAGAGGAGTGCTGAAGTGTTCAGAGCAGGGAGCTGAGTCAGCATTCTTGGGTTCTACTCTAGCCTTTGCCACTGGTCTGCTCTATGCATGGAAGTTGCATAACCTATTCCTGCTTTTGTTTCCCTTGATGTAAAATGAGAATATTCATAGGAGCACAAGGGAGTTCTACTCATGGATGTTTGTGAAGTGCTATGTGGTGTTACCCCCACGCCCACTTCCTGTCTCAGCCTCTTTCCACTTGACTCAACCGGTTTAAGTTGACCATGTAGAGCACAGGAGGGGAGCTGAACACTGTTTTACACTGGGCATTGGCGAGGTTTACATTTGACTTGACTCAGGGTTCTGTGATTAACATCATATAGTTTAATTTATGAAGGAACATGCAGTTAAAAATGTTTAACAATCCTGTTATAATCAGCTAAACTTATGAAAGCAGAAGGAAGATGTGCCATTTAGACAGTGAAAAGCAGCGAAACCAATTTCAATTTGATTCTTAGTTCTGATGTATTGGGGCTGCAAATATTTGCAGCTCAGTGTTTTTCTGTGTCTTACTGTATAAATGGTTGGGTTTTTTTTACCAAATCATGATTGCCTTCATGAGCTGATATCTCTTAAATCCCCATGATTTAAAAGAAGAGTCTAGGTTAATGTGTGTTATGCTTTCCCGTGTCAGATGTCGTGGTTTGGGTCAAAGCCATCTCCCAAAGGCAGTGTCCGGCCATCCATCTCGAACCCCAGGACAGCATGGTCTTAAGGGAGTGGAAAATGAGCAATCAGCATCTAGCCTCCTTTTTTTCTGTGAAAAGGACACGACACACCTCTTGAGGTGTGCCTTAATCACTGTCATTGCAGTACTTTGTACCAGAATTTTGACACAGTTTACACAAATATACTGTACAAGCAGCATCCTTCACTGCAAATTGAAATTTTCTCTCTGGGTGGATTCTGTCTCAATGGCCTGTTATCTGTTTAACAGTCATCTCCTTGTGCTCGAATCCTGTGTCTTGGCACTAAAGGTTTACTACATTAATTTCACTCAACACTGGTGGCAGCAGTTCAGGATTTTGATATCTACATTTGTCGTCATGTGGGATCCTAGCTTCTGTTGCCATGAAATACTAGAGTTCCATAACTCTTGGTACATACTGTAAAGCTACCCGGTCTCATTGTGCGAAGGTGGGAATGGAGGGGCGTTTGCTTGTCGTACCGTGTTCAATTCCTGACAGTTCAAAAAGCCTTTTGGAAAACACGAACAACGGGTTGCCTTGTTATACTGACCTAACTTATTAGCATTTGTTTGTATCACTGTGTAAATTTTACAGTGTGAATACCCTGACCTGCTGTTCTGAAAACTGCAGATAACATTTATTTAATTTCAGAGGGATAGCACAACTTTAAGGTTGTCTGATATTTACTTTTCTTAAAGAAAATTAACGTTTAAAATGGTCTTAATTACAGTACCTACTACTCAGTCACCTTTTAAACTAATGTACTAGTCTATAGCGTAGGTTGTTAGTATTGGAAAAAGGTAGTAAACCATTTTAAATACTTTTTAAAGCTGAATTTCAGTTTATTGTAAACAATTACAATTCCTATTGAAAGGGAAAAAACCTTTAGTGATACAAAGGGCACAGAATGTCAGTATAAAACCATTGATTTTTTTTAAAAATTCCTTTACAAGTTTGCTAACAGCAGATTTTTATAGCTAACATCTGCTTCTCTCTGAAACAGTATTGGTTATTTCAGACTTTGCATTTACTTGTAACTAAGACTGCAGCTTAAGATTTTAGAGTGGTGGGGCTTATTAGCTCTTTCCTATCATAAAAATGTTTGCCTTTTTAATATAAAAGCAGAATTCAGCTTGCACATGACAGTTGTGGCTTGAATGCTGTGAACTTTCCTGGACAGGGAGGACAGATTAAGCTATGATCTGCCATTCAAGTTGGAGTAGAATTTTGCCCTTAGTTACTAACCAAAAGCTACATTAAAAATGGGATGTGCAGTTTTGTCTGGCTTTTAAAAAAAAAAAAACCTGAAGTATTTATAAAAATTCCATAACTTAAGTGGCAAATTTAGTAATAATCTTGCAAAAAGGCTCGATTATTGCTGAATAGCACTTTATCAAATGCATCTTGTTAAAGAAAATTCAACACACACGTAAGCTAGAAGTTTTAGACCTAATGTTTCTTTATGGTACGATCTTAATAGTCACTCTAGTACTTTGCCCTTGCTGAGGTTCTAGGACTGGGCCTGTGCTAGTAAGAGTAATGTTGAAAGGAATTTTATAAGTCTTCTGGAATGAATCATACTCCCTGTCTAGGTGTTAATTACCTTTCTATTGTAGAAGAATAGCAACCAAGATTTTCAGGTATTCTGGGATGCTCATCCTACTGTTGTCCACCATGGCCTACCGGCACGCTGAGGACTGACTTTGAAGCTGATTTGAGTTGTTCCTGACCTTGCTCTGGGCTGCTGTTGAACCTGAAGGAGAGCAGTCTTCTTGGCTAGTTAGTTGATCAGGGGACAGGGAACAAAGAGAGCTCAGGTTAAAAACCACAGCCTCAGTCTGATATTATAGAAACTTAAGATACTTAATTGGCCCTGAGCTAGCTTTCCTATGTTGAATCTTCTTTAATGGTCAGAGCAAGAATAACCTATGGTATATATTAAAACAAGTAATGTATTTTTCCTTGTATCAAAGTTCCTGGGGTATATATAATCCTTCCTATGACCATTTACCAGTGGATTTTTATTTCTTGCATTTTGTGCTGTAAATATGGACTGTATTATAGAACACAGACAATTGGAGAACTAATTTGTGGTGCACTATTTTTTATTAAAACTCTGGACTTCCTTCTAGTTATCTTATTTGGTTACCTCCAGTTGCAAGGGACCATAGCACTAACATGAACTATTCTAGTTGGAGAGAAAGTGCTTGGTGTATGAGTTAAGTATACGTGCATTCTGCTTTTTCTTCTGTGGCTGGTATCTCCCAGACAAATCAATGCATCAAGTGAAGGGAGAGTTGACACCTACTGCAGAGGAACCCACATATAGTGATGGTTGCATGGCTTTGTAAGGGGGACTATGTAACCATATGGAGCAGTTGAACAATCAAGTATCCTTTTATCCCTGCCTCAGTGCTGTATCCTGAGAAGCAGGGCAGCCATCTTCCAGTGGCTATACTTCTTCAGTGCATAAAACCCATCAGCTGAACTTTCAAGCTCTTATTTCCTCAATTGTGACTTAAGGGATGAGGGGTGCTACTCACCCAAAAGACAACCTGCTAACTTACCCAGAAGTCTGTTCTCATGCAACAGGTTCTTCTCACCTTAAAAGATCATTTGAAAAAACAGGCTTTACAGAAGATGCTTTCAGTTGGCCTATCCAGTGGCTTGGGTCTGTTCAATTTTTAATCACACAGCACAATCCCAATGTTACTAGGACAACAGATTTTCATGGGAGAAGAAATATAGCCCATGGATTCAGGGTTTTGTTCTGCCCTAGGTTTAACAGTAGTGCAGCGAGCTAATTTTTTTTACCTGACCCTAAACTACAGTTCCCTTCTTTTACCACTATGAATCACATAGCACTAGTTAACACTCCATGCCCCACAGATGACCACACCACTTTGTATGTTAAGTTGTGCTGATAGTTTATTAGCAGGACACTACTCAGAAAAGGTTCGTTTCAAAGGGAGTACATGTACTTCTATTTAAAGATGTGAACATATCACATAACTTTAAGATGAGCAAGTACTCGCTTTAAATGCTCAAAAGGGCAAAGGACACACTTTTCCATAACAGCATTATTTACACATGAAGCTTTGAAATAATTCCTTGCTCAGCTGGCATGAAGAGAAAAACTGAACCCCTGGAGTTAGACACCTTAATACACCATATATTATATTTGGCACTTAACTTAACCCCCTGTTTATACATACAAATTAAATCAGGGCCAGAAAGAAAGCATTCAAGTAAACACAGAGTGAGGCAAATGTCATCTACTACTACCAGTGCAGTTAGGTGCTCATTCAGTCTATTGGAGAGAAGGTGCTCTGGTTTAAAACAAACATCTTTGAGAGACAATCAGGGTGGTATAGACGTAAACAAGAGCACAATGCTTTGTGGAGGTGGGATCCTACAAGAATATTTCAACACTAAATTTGCCTTTGAATCCATAGCAATTTTATCTAAATTGTAAAATCAGATTTGATTCTTACAATCCAAGAGCTTTATTGACGCAGCAGGCACTTTACAATGAAACTGACCCAGTCATCCAGCTAGTCCTTTGATTGTATGTACAAAATCCCCTGTCAAATCGGCATTTCCCCCCAGTCAGAACTTTGCATCTGCTGAAGCCACAGCTACTTCTCTTAAATTAGCAATACACACAGGATCTTATGTCACCGTACTTTGAGGGTGCAGCATCTGAAGAAAAATACCTCTCCCTGTACAGTAACCAGAATGTCTGATGTGGTAAAGCAGACAGTCTCAGCCCCTGTATTTGATAGTCAGAACACACAATAATATTTGCTCTTTTCCCCAACCTTTAAAAATAGAAGCATTCCCGAGGTTTCCATAATATGTCAGTAGATTGCAATGTCTAGAAAGATGGGCCAATGTCACTTCAGCTGATTCTTTCTTCTGAGTCCAAAACTGTTCATCTTGGTTCAAGTTAAGTCTTTTAAACAGTCTTTCTTGCTGTAAGAACTCTTACTATGGAACCTAGTCCACCTACTGCTAATGCCTGTGAGGGTAGGAAAAGGAGAGAGAGGTTACACGTCAAATCAACCATTGCACACACAAAGGCATCTTATAACAGCAGTTATTAACAAACCTCATTTCTGTACTTAATTGTAACACTAATCAGTGTATTGTTCCCTGTTGCAGTTGTTAGAGCCTGTAAATCCCAGCTGATTCATGGCTGGGAGTGAAGGGGAGGAGCAGGGCAAGTCAGATGACTTGTGGCACTCCACAGTGCTGGGAGGGGAAGGGGAGAAGTAGAAAGTGCAGGACTCCAGTGTGAGGCGCACATGGGGAAGGGGCCAGACCAGGGGTGTGCAGGCTGCCCACCAGTGGCCTCTAAGTATTACAACCTATAAGCAGGGAGAGTCAGTCTGCTGTTCTTAGGAAATGCAATATAGCTGAGTCCTCTTGCCAGCACAATGCACAAGCTGGATGTGTAAGAATTCAGATGTTTTTACCCACTTGCTCCCAAGTCACAACAGAGAATCATTTCTACATCACTGCTAAAGCTGGGCAACTGGCACAGATGCAAATTTGAAAAGGTTCTGAAAGGAAGTGCTAGATCTCAAAAGACTAGACAGATGACTTCTCTCTCCATAGCAGTAGTACCACGAGATCGAATGCAAGCAACGCTTCAGTTAGCGCCAGGCCTACTTCAGAACTTGCCTTGTTCCTCTCAGTCTGCTGAGGAGCATGTTGGCTGTTGAACATTTGGCTGCATACTGTTGAGTGGTGACCTCTCCCAAGGCAGAATGCCAAGTAATTTCATACACCCTGGGCCACCTACCCACAATGGCCAGAAACCATCATTTTCATTGGAAACAAAAAGCAGAAAGGTTCCTTGCTATCATGAGAACATGGCCATCTCCTTCCAGCCACACTTTAAAGTGACACTCTCAAGCAAGTGGTAGCTGCAAGTCTTAAGTGCAGTTACTAAGTATCAGTGTGTCCCCAGACCTGAACAACAAAGCCTTTAATGTCTGAGCGCTTTCCATACAGACCTATGTGCCTGCTCAAACATCACATCCTGCTCAGGCACCTCAGGAAGAAAGGTGTCAAAACAGACTGTTGGCAGCAGGGCCCTCCCCACAAAACAGCCATTCCATAGGGGACCTTTGCCTCTTACTTTAAAGCAGCCATTCCACACTTGAACTCGAAGGTGGGGTGTGGATCCAAGTCAGAGCTTTTTAGTTTCAAGACTGCAAAAGTGTTTCTCTTGCAAGTTAAGAGTAGTTCTACAATCATTGTTCAGTTTTCTACATCCAGATGCCAATTTACAGGAGTATGACAGTGGAAAGCTCTGACAGGCACGGGTTTCTCTAGCACATATCCAGAAGCTATATGTACGCACACTACATGTACGCACACCTTTGTATGTATATAATCCTAGTTAGATTCAATTAAGAAAACCACTCTACACTACTACATGATAGTACTTCCACCTTAATCCTCCTTCCAGTGCCAGCCCTCCATGGACTCTCAACCTTCCTAAATGGCTGCTAGAAAAGACAGACTTTGAAGCATGGTAAGAGTTAATGAATCCAAGGTCTGGCAGACCAGTAGGGAGATCAATTCCCAAATAGTGTACCCCTGAGGGACATGCCCTATCATCAGACTCCTCCTCGTGCACCTCCGTTGACTACAATATTATGTGATTCTGCAGAGGTACTATACTATATAGAAGATTTTCAACCATGATCATAATGAACTGTGGCTTCCAAATTAGGCAGCCCTGGAAGAGACACATACCTTTTCATGCCATTGAAGTAATATTGCACTGCTATTTTCTGTTGGCTTTTCAAATCCTTTATAAATGTACTTCATTAACAAGTCAATACCATTTCTGTCTAATGTGTTTACTGCCTGTTCTATCTCACTGCTTTTAAAGGATGTGAGGACCTTAAGCACCACTCCCTGGACCCGTTCCTGCAATGAAAAAGCAGAATGACATCAGAGCCCATCGCTCCAAAGAGCGTAAACAGCAAAATCTTAACTGTACCCAAAATGCACATTTACTCAACAAATTAATTCTAACAAATAACGTGCAATTGAATTCTCAGCTGAATATAAAAGGCTACGTCAGCTTGGGAACAATTAGGCTTTAGTTTTATACGATTTTAAATTTCAGTAATTAGAAGCAGGTAAGAACCAACCTCTTAAATATTAAAGATTGAAAAAAGTCACTCTTCCCTCCTGAGAATACAACAGGATTTGGTGGATCAATGGACCAGGGCTCTTTTAAGTACCTTAGTAGCAAGCTTCCCCCACTGCTATGCCCCAGCTGTCATACTCCATCCAGTCAAGTGCATGCAGCAAGGTGATAAAGGTACATATACTGGATCATGTCTAAGATGCTTCCCCTTGAGTATGCATGGTAAAGGGCCAGCCATTGAAAAGAAGCAGGTACTACTCAAGAGTGTTGAAATTAAAATGCATATAGTGTATATTTCTCAGTGGTTCACATGTTTATTTTAAAATGTAGTAATACTCTCTAGCTGGGTCAGTGTGTCAGCATCCAAGGTGAAGGAACACTCACACCAATAGAAACCCGAAGGCTCCATTTACCTTTATTGCTTGGTTCTTTGTGTTCAAAGGAGAATTCCGCAGGGCTGTGTGAAAAGCTCTCAGCATATCACCTGTGCAGCATAGCAAGTCAAGGACCCAAATTCTTAAAGATGATAATAAACATTCTAAAATGGAAAGTTCAGTGAACTCCAACCCCTGTCACTTGAGACAATGGAAATGGGAAGCAAGGAAACTGTAGCAACACACCACCCCTTTTCATAACTCATTTTAATATTTAATTCAAAACATCACCGCAGTGCACTTTAATACAAAATACTTGATTTCCAGAAGATACTTTGGTAGCAAATTAGAGTGTCAAAGTGTGCCCATAAAAAGCAAATTCAGTTCAGTCAGCTTAGCTCGGTGTTTCTTAAACTATGTTCCGTGAACAACTTTCAGGGGTGCTGCAACCTTTTCTTAGTTTTTGTCTTTTTGTGTGTGACAATTTTTTTTGAAGAAAATTCTTAGGTGTTCCGCATAAAAAAAAAAATACAGTATTTGGTGTTCCATGGTCTTAAAGTTTAACACACACTGACTTAGATGTTATTTCCACCTTGCATATGATTCCAGAGGCTGAACATCCACCAAAGCTACAGACAAATACCTAAATGCCTTTGAAAGCACATGCCCAGGAAGACAAAGTATTAAATGGAATTATTACAAATGCCAAGATTAATAAAAGTTGCACAACTCCTTATCTCAAACTCATCCCTAGAACATGATGAAAATATCAAATGTGTTAAAAATGAAGCCTGAGCATCTGCTATGGGCAATTAAGGAAACATGTAAGAAGAGTCAACCAAAAAAAAAATCTCTCCATTGAGCAGTATGTAGAGAGAAAATTAGGGGATTTAACAACATAGATGTGCAAGGAACAGCCTAAGCTAGCTAGAGATAGTAGAGCCTCAGTTGTACTCTAAGCGATTTGAAAGCATGGGAAAGATTCAGATTCCATCTATTTATGAAAGGGAATGAATGCTTACCTCATTTGGGAAACATCCCAATTTGTCTTCTGCAAATCTTAAGTGTAACTGTAGATTTGCAGAAAAAGATATTGAAATGCAGTAGAGAAACTCAGAAAACATCATTAAAAAAACCAGGAGGAGAATGTGGAAGCCTGAGCTTTGCTAATGAAGAGATGTTAGCTTGTCTACGTAAGTCAGATTGTGGTAATGGAGCTAGGCAGTTTGGGGAATTCTATATTGTACAGAAAGTCACAGGCATCAGACAATTAAATACACATTAAAAAGCATGAATAAAAATGCCAAAACCCCCCACCGGATTTATCTTTTACAATTATCTAATTAGTTTCAGGGCTTGGGACCACAAATCTAAACAGCAAAAGCCCAACAATACAGCAAGGATTGCAAACAAGTACTATTTTGCTTCAAGGTCAATTTCCTCTTCACTTACAGTTTTTAAAGCAATTGTTCACATCTGAGTTGACAGGATTTCCTGTCAGTTAAACTAAAAATGACAAGACTTCAGTTATAAAAACAGAAACCTCATTCACCACAAAACTTAAAATTCTGTAAATCAGGAAACTCTTTTTCTTAGTTACTCACACAGTGACCTGTGGAACATAATAACCTAACACTGTCATTTGCTCAGTCCTAGGTATGACAAATAAGAATGGCATTCATGGGGACAGGTCACCTAAAAAGTAGCTTGATGTACTTGCAACTATAACTGGTAAACTCTCAAACTATCTGCTATTTATTTTTCTCATGCTTATAAATACAAGTAATAGCAGGACGGTAAAGAACTAATTACTTCCTTAATAGCAGAGCTCCTTTCTGAAATACATACCAATCCAAAACTATGTTATCAACTTCATACTTGGTTTCAAAAATAATCCCACCATAAAGTAGTTAATCCAGTCATTCCTAACACTTGTTCAGAAGTCTTCCAGGATGCACTTTATCTTATTTGGTGAGAGTGCAACTTAAGTGTCAGCTTCTGCTCAGGAAGCATTCTGATCCATATAAAGGAGTCAGCACACACTGAAACTAGTTACTAATCAAATTATACAAACAGAATAATTTATTGGCCTGATACCTAATTTAATTTTTACAGTAAAGGAATCTTAACTACAAAATATAGGTACAAGAGAGTTCAGAGGATTGGTAATGAGAAACAGAGCCCATCACCTTTCGCTGCCAGACTGGAATCCAGTTTTGTTAGAAACCAAGTCTGATTGGTCTGAGCAGCTATCTGAAATGATTTGGTGAGGCTTAATCCAGATCCTTAATAAAGACAAATCCCACATCCCAGACACCACCACAATTATTTTTTTAACAGTCTGAGCAGAGAAGTCAAGCAGTGAATGGGGAGAATGAACTTGTCTTCTCCACATGTGGTAAAGCAGTCACTATTGATGTACGTTAGTGATGGGTGCAAGCTTGTGCCCTTTTTGCAGGTGGAAGACCCAGGCTATCATGCGCTTTTCTCTAGGTGACCTTGGAGAGATCTGCACAACTCCACCTGGTATTTTCTAAGATGCACAAACTAAAACTACTATTTCTCCTGAAGATCACTCCCAGTCAGAGACCATCCAGCTCACCTCATACAAACACATACTTGCTGTAGGCTTAATTTGAAAACAAGTTGTTTTCTTGCTTTCATCTTCTATATAGGCATTTTAATAAAAGGAATAATCTGGGTTAGGTCCCAGTGTGGCTGATGACAGTTATTTTAAGCATTTTTATATCCGTTTGGCTCAATTAACTCACTTCAAAACATACTGTCCTACTTGAAAAATTGTTTCAGAAATGGGATGAGGCAATGGAACATTCTCCTTCTATATAAGGTTCTCTATCCACTTCTGTCTGCAACCCGTATTAGGTAACTAAATTTGCTTCCAATGTTTTTAACAATCCACTATAAACTAAAAATTACAACCACCACTACAAAAATTATCAGGTCCCACAGAATCCCTTTTCTTAAGCTGCTAAACTAGTAGGTCTGTTGGTGGTGCAATATGCAAATGTAGTACCTGCAATCGTACTTCAGGTTTTTTCAGATTTCAGGATCTGATTAGAACCCCATAAGCAAAGAGATAGCAATCTTAATCAAAATTAAAGCATAGTCTGGGACATGCTTTCATTTTTTATGTTTGCTGCTTGCTTTTCTGGGTTTTGTAAATAGCACATACAAATGAGAAAAGTATGAATATTTGTCATGTAAAAAAAGTGTGATGTGATTAGAACTCATTAAGTTGGACCACAAAAGGCAGATGAAAAGGCGAGATGGATTTGGATAATATTTTAGGGATCCATGCATTTTTAGCACTTTAACAGATGTTAGAATGTAAATTATAATATAAATGAGTCCTACCTAGGAGTAGGGACATTAATTGAATAGTTAATGCAATTTGCATAGACTATTTGATTAATTGATAAGGGTGCATCTGCCTTTGAAGTGTAGCAACACCCCAAGGACTATTGCTACACTTCAAAGGCAAAAGCACTGTGGGGAGCATGGGTCCAGTGGAGGACTCAAGCAGTGCCCCGCTGGCCCCATTCTCCCCATGGCTTTTCAAAACAGTAGTGCCACATGGAGACTGGAGTCAGACCTTGGGCTCCATGTAGCGTTGCTGCTTTGAAATGCCATGGGGAGCCTAGCATCAGGCATCACGCAGCATTTCAAAGCAGCAACACCACATTGAGCCCAGGGTCAGCAGGGCAGTCCCCGGCTGAACCTGGGTTCCATGTAGCACTGCCCCAGGCTGCACACAGTGCTGCCACTTTGAAGCACCCCTGCCATTCTCTCCCTCCCCCCCCCCACCTCTTTCTGACAGGGGGAGGGGAAGAAGGGAATGACTAGTCCACTAGTGTGTCCACTATCTGATAAGCATTTGTTTATTGGATAGTTGACTAGTTGGGCACATCCCTACCTAGGAGCATTATGGAATACCGCAGAACAGTTACATTATACCCTTTATACCTCTCCAACTGTACACATTTTCAAATTGCGCAGAGCTATTTAACCTCGTCCAATCAGTCTCTGTGAAACATTCATTTCCCAAAGTTTTGAAACACAAGACCCCACTCCCTGGGAGTCCATGGAGCCAGCAATGCCCACACTGCGGCCGAGGCCCAGGGCTGTTCAGACCTGCGCTATAACCCAGGGCCACGCAGAACAGGAAAACCAGCGAGCAGCCCCGGGCACCTCGTGACTCACTCAAATGCCCAGAAGCACGAGCCTGGGCCAGGAGAGC